CTCCATGTAAAAAAGTGTGCTTGAGATAAAGCTGTTTGAGATCCCATCCTTCAACTGTGGCTGTATGCAGAATCATTCTGACCGTAGCAGTGCGAACCACGGACTATAAAGAAAATCGACACCTTCCTCTTGTTCATAGCCCTTAGCGACGATTTTGGCCCTTATTTCGAGAGTACCATCGGCGTTGAGTTTGGTTTTGAAAACCCAACGGCATCCCAAGACGTTGATGTTTGGAGGTGGTGGGACTACACTCCAGGTGCTTGTCTCTTTACATGTAGTCATTTCCTCATTCATGGCTCCTTTCCAGCTAGGGTCTTTGAGAGCTGCAGCTATCCACTTTGGCTTTGTGGGTATCCCCTTTACAGCAAGAAGAATGTACCGAGGGTTGAGTTTGATGATCCCATCTTTGGATCTAGTAATCATTGGGTGAGGAGCTGGAATATCCAAGTCAAGGTGGTCCTGGGGGTTCTGAGGGGACTCAGGTGGAGATGTAAGAACTGGCGAGGTGTCCTGCAGCACAGGAGATGAGTGGGGGTTCCGTGACACAGAGTTCTCTGCAACTGGGTTAAAAAGAGAATCCATAGAAGACTCAGGTTCGGTGGATTGCTGTTCTGTGTCTATGGGAGGAGTAGAAGCAGCAACAGTCATGGGAACAGGAATAGATATATCCCCTATTCGTATTTGAGGTTGAACACTAGTGACAGGTTCTTCTTGAGAAGTGTTTTCAGAGCTAGAATTGACAGCAGATTCAGTACTTGAGTACCAGGCTGACATAAGAGGAGTTGTTGTCAGTGGGTTAAAGCTGTGTTAGCTATCCGAGAAGGGAAACCTCTGCTCATCAAAAAGAACATGTCTACTTATGTACACACGTCCTGTTGGAGGATGAAGGCACCTGTAACCTTTGTACCTCTCATTATACCCAACAAACACACAAAAAAGAAATTTCGGATCAAATTTGTTGTGGGCATATGGTCGAAGATAGGGATAGCAAGCACACCCAAAGACTCTGAGAGCTGTGTAAGTAGGAATTGCATCATGAAGAAACTCATATGGACTAACCATCTTGTCATGAACCGAAGTTGGGAGAAGGTTGATGAGAAAGTTGGCAGTAAACAAAGCTTCCACCCAAAGCTTTTAAGGCATGTGACTCTGAAACAGCATTGTCATTCCAAGCTCCATAAAATGTCTATGTTTTCTCTCAGCTAGACCATTTTGTTGTGGAGTATGAGGACAAGAGATGTAATGCCTTTTGTAGTATCAAAATGGTCTAGAAAAGATTTATTGACAAATTCACCTTCTCCATCACTCTGAAAGATACCAATCTTTTGATTGAATTGATTCTCTACTAGTTGTTGAAAGACTTTGAATATAGAGAACACATCTGATTTTAATTTGAGTGGATAAAACCAGCAGAACCTTGAGTAATTGTCGATAAATACAACATAGAATTTGAAACCTTGAACCGAAATAAGAGGAGCTGGACCCCAAACATCACAATGGATCCGCTCTAGAGGTTTACTAGCTTGAAAATCAGAACCAAAAAAGGGAAGCTTGCAAGTCTTTCGCAGCTGACATGGCTCGCAAAGACCAGAGGAAGCCTTATTGATGGAGATAGCCTTGATAGAGGATAGGTGTTTGAGGACTTGTTGATGAGGATGTCCTAGCCTTTTGTGCCAAACCGCATCACTCGCTATCTGTTGTCGTGATGAGTAAAACACAGAAGGTGAAGGATTCTCCAACCTGTAGAGCCCTTCAGTTTTGCTTCCCTGAGTGAGAAACTGATTGGTGACTTTGTCCTGTATACAAACAGAGTGTGAGTCAAAAGTGAATGTACAAGGATAGTCATCGGTCATCTTTGAGACTGAGAGAAGCGATTTAGTTATCTCAGGACAAACAAGAACGTCCTTAAGGATCAAATTACCTGAGGCAGAAGGTAGAGCTATAGAGGCAACATGAGTGATTGGAAGGAAACTTCCGTTACCTACTATCACAGCATCTGACCCACTGTATGGTTGAGCAGACTCCAGATTCTGAACCGAGCTAGTGATATGATGTGTGGCTCCTGTATCAGGGTACCACTCTGATCCCGAGTTGTCTTGGTGACTGGAGAGTCTGATAGCAGCCATTGCTTGTGGTAAGTTGTCTGGTGCTGGGGCTGGAGTCTCAAAAGTCTTGTCGAAGCGTTTGAAGCAGTTATCAGCAGAATGGCCATACTTATGACAAATCTGACATGTTGGCCGAGATCCATTGTTAGAGTATGACCCGTGACCACTGTCTTGACCAAACTGTTGGGGAAAGCCTCTACCTTGAGTAGAGTATGAGCCTCGACCTCGGCTGTCTCCTAGAGCCTGGCCTCTTCCTCGATTATTGTAACCTCCTCTAGCTGTGTAGAAGGCCTGATGCGGGGAAACCTCTGGAGCAGCCTCATATTTCTGCAGTTTCTCATCAAAGCAGACAAGTTTGTAAACGGCGTCTTCAAAGCTCATTCCAAACTGAGTATCCATTGTGTGTTCGATAATAGTGATTATGGATTCGTAATCTCTGCCCAAACCATTTAAAAGATCATAGATCTTTTCATGCTCAGAGAGCGGTGCACCAATAGAGTCTAGCTGGTCACAAAGAGATTTAATATCAGAGACATACTGACTGATAGTGCTTGTGCCTTTCACCGTGGTTTGTATCCGACTTTGGATGTCAAGCTTTCTAGTAGCAGACACGCGATTGTACCGTTTAGCAAGTGAGAGCCACACTTCTTGAGAGGAGTGGAGTCCATAGATGCTCTTGAGTGCCTCTTCGGACAGAGATCCATAGAGCCAAGCCATGATGAGTTGATCCGTTTGTACCCATGTAAGAAAGTCTGGGTTACTGACTTCACTGACACGGCCTCCTTGACGAACCAGAATGGTGGGAGATGGCCTGGGAATAGATCCAGTGACATAGCCGAGTAAGAGTTGACTCTGTAGAAGTTGCTCGAACTGAAGATTCCAAGACGGGTAATTTTTGTCATTCAGCTTGAGTGTAACGACCTGAGTGATGGATAATGCCGCAGGAGTATAGATGCTTGACAGAGTCTGCGTGGGAAGAGTTGCTGTCGTAGCAAAGGTAGAGAAGGTAGCCGTCGGAGGTGGAAAAGTAGTAGCTGGTGGTGCTGGGGCAAGAATCACCGGATCTGGAGCAGTTGTAGTAACAGGAGGCACCGGAGGTGTCCCCGGAGTAGAGGAAGCAGCGTTAGCTGGAGTGGTTGAACCCTCCATGGCTCTGATACCATGTAGGCAAAAGCAAAATAGAGATTCAACTCAAGGAAATCCAAGAAAAGGTTTTAGTTTTTAACATTCATTTCTAGATAAATTCTAGGGTTTACACTTAGTTCTCTATTTATACAATGAGAAGAACATTCTAGACTAGACAGATAGTGATTGACAGCTCATTAAACTTGATCCAAGAGAGGAGAGAACTTGTTGTGAAGTTAAATCCTTATCGTTTCTTGAGTTGTACGGAAGTCTGTTTCTGGGCTTCTCTTTACTGTTTAGGCTTGCGCTCTATTGTTTGTTATTGGGCCATTTGCAGAAGTCGAAGTTTTCATCTTCTCCTTCTCTGTTTTACTTATAATATTATTCGAGTCCATATTTATAAATTTGATTTTAATCTAGATCCACATTGATAATCATCGTCATTCGAACATTGTTACTATATCAATATTTATTGTTTTTTTATGCAAACATGCATTAAAATTAATCGTAAAAATATATAACAAGACAAAAAAAAAATTTCTTTCAACAATATATATCTTTTCATTACTCTTTTAATAATCTGGGCGTAGAATGATTAAATAAAAACTGAATGCAATATTTTGCATGAAAAAACATCTAAATTCTGAAAAAAGAAAGAAACAAAAACATCTCAAGTTTTGGATATTTTTATCGTCTATTTTATTCTTCTGAAACTTACCAAATGAAGTTATATAACCAAATGAAACATGTTCTTAAATGGAAGAGGACCAGTAAAGTCGTTGTGTAGATAGTTTGATACTAACCCAAAAGACGAGAAACATGTTGGGGCAATTTCCCTTATTTGCGATGCTGTCATTATTTAATACAAAGTTACGATAGATAATGGTTTGAAAATGGTTTGAAAATGGTTTGTAATCATCTGATGCATGTATAAGAATCCCCAATATTTATAGGGAAAAACAAAAATTATACCATTTATACAAAAAGTTGACGAGTGGTTCCTGATTAATGACTAAGCTTTTATTTTAGCAAGTATTCTAAGCTAACAAACTTCTTCAATAAGTTTACGAAATCAAATATGAGTGTTCTATAGAATGTATTTTTCGTTAAATGAAACTTATATACCAACTACAAGTTATGAAAGATAATCAGGGTTTTGGTCCAGAGATCTTTTAGTCATTGGAATAAAATCTGAATTCTTTCAAGTTTCTACTGGTTGTGATTCTTTTGACATTGTCGAATTGACTTTTAGACACACAGACCCAATCGAATTTAATTTTTAGAAACAAACAATTAGTGGGTCACCATTTTCTGCATTACAGTGATTGATAATGTACGCATTAATTTTTCGATACTATTCTTGCAGAACGATTTTACCACAAACTACATAACAACGTTTAACATGAGCTGTATAATTATTACACTTAACAAACGAACAAACATATCTACTAAAAATCGGTCTATGGCTTTATTCCCATTTATCATCACAATAATTGTCAAAGATTTTCCTCGCCTAAAGCCTAGAGAATTTACTTGCAACATGTTAATAGCTTGGTGCACATGCCCATTAATATCATTACAACATATGAATGCCTAAGGCCCATATTATTTCGCCATATTTTGGTCTGGTCCGATAGAGTTTCTAAACCTATATATTGTATGTAGAACGAGACTTAGATAACCAGATTATATACCGATCCACAGTTCTAAAACAAATCTTTTCCATGAAAAGTCGGAACCAGTTTGAAACCTGGCTAAATTATAAACAACAGTCGCAATGAAATGGTTCATATAAAGAAATCAAGAAGCAGATTTAAGTCTCATGGTAACCAGAAAGTCTCAAGAACTGCGGAAAATAAAAAACGACAAAGTTCTTCAAATCTCTATGTTTATCTGCCTCAAAATTCAACTACTTGAACGTAAGAAAACAAGACACAAGACAAAGAGAAGTGTTTCTACATGTTTCTTTTTGCTTTTGTTTTTACCTTTCTCTTCAAGCATCTGTAGCCGTTGGAGAGTTCTCAGGTGTCTTCAGAGGAAGAGTGGTTTCTTCTATCGGCTTATTGTCTTTATGTTTGTCAATGGCTACGCGAAACTCTTCCACGATTGTTGGGTCTTTGAACTTCAGTGCAAATGTAGAGAGACCTTCTTTGCCTTCGCTTACACTGTTCACACAGGCGAATGTGATTCCCTTCTTGTCCATGCTTGCAAGTTTCATTTCCGGGTAGAGACTCGCGTTCAAGATCAGCCTGTAGTTACCTTTAGCCCTCATAACTAACCTTGCTTTACCACCATTACTGGAGACGTTAACCTTGACTTCTCCTTTACCACGCTCTTTCCATCCTCCATCAAGATATTCAAACATTATCGAGTCAGCTGAGAAGGTAACTTTCTCGTTTTCTTCTCCTGTTTCTGTGGAAACCTCTTCCTTTGGTGGGAACGCAGTACCTTCGCTGCTCTTCTTGATAATTGAAGCTCCAGAAGCACCGAAAAGGGAAGAGTTATTGCTGTTCTGAAGGCCAAACCCAAAGAGAGATCCAGAACCAGTTGAACCATCCTGAGAAACCAAACCGAATGAGAATGAAGAACCAGAAGCCTCTGTACTAGCCAGTCCCGTGAATGCATTTTTGCTACTAGAGTGCTGTTGGAACGAACTCAAAGCGCCATTATCACCGTTCTTATCAGCCTCTTCACTTTCTTCTTTTCTCTCACTTTGATCACCTCCTGAATCCTTCTTCTCAAGAGGATCCTCAGTCTGGTCTGTTCCTTCAACAGCGTTGCTGATGTTTGTAACACTCGAGACCGTCTGGTTTACATCAGCATCAGTAACTTGAGTATCAGATGTCTTCCCACATTGATTATCTTTAGCTTTTTCAGTCTCTTCGCCAGCAGAATCTTTGACATTATCAACCTTCTTACTGTCAACTTCATCCTCTTCTTCGGTATCGGTTACCTTTTGGTCATCCTCCTCGACCACCGCTTCCGCTGGAGCCAGTTTCGACTCAGCCAGAGGTGTGGTTGAAGCAGGTGCAGAAGCAGGGACCAGTTGAATTCCAGCAAATGGATTGAGTGATGCAGCTGGTGGAGCTGATGGCTCTTTGCGCTTAACTCTGACAATTCTTCTACTTGCCAATACCTCATCACTGGCCTTCTTGAAAGTTCCACTCTCAAGTTCAGCTGAATCTTCCTCATCATCAAGACCTGGATTTTCACGAGACAGCTGCTTTAAAGCACCTCTCTTCTTCGAAGGTGGCTGTGCATTTTCCGAGTCCCCCATTTGATATGCTTGAGAGAGAGAGACACTTATAGAATACCTACAAAAAAAAAACATGCAAAAGAATTTCAATGAATATCAAATATTCCTACACAGAGATACTAAAAGACAAATAACCAAATCCAAATCTTTGTATGTAGAGGTAACATAATACAGTCAAAAACACCATTCCGAAGCTAAAAACACACATAGGACATAATAGAAACTAACGCCAAATCTAAGAGCACAAAACCTCAAAATGACAATGCAATAGAAAACTGAAAACTATAGAGGCTTGAACGAAATAGAGAAGCAAAAGGAAGAATAAAGCCAAACTCCAGACGCAATTAGAGAAATGCCCTAAAGAGACTTACAGATCTACAAGCAATGAAATAATTGAACAACAGTGATTCGTCCTTGCAAGTAAGTCAGATTAGTGAGTTGCACAAATGGAATAGAACAGAAAAAACGAAAATGAAGAAAAACAAAACGAACAGACATTATCAAAACCCTAGATGAAAAGGGATTTTAGAAAACCCGATTTCGATTCAAGAAACATAAAATCTGAGGTGTTACATCCAAATTCCCACTGGCTTCAAGAATCTAAAGCAATATAACAACCGCGTAAACCCAACGCAAGTCACAAATTATTCGATAGTGAATAAGAAATTTCAAACTCTATCCCAAATCGAAGTAAGAACAAAATTAAAGAAATAACCAGAAGAAGCTATTTCTACAGCAAACTGAACATACGACAACAAGATGTCAAAACCCTAGAATCAGAGGAGCTAGCCCATAGAAAATAAAGAAAATAAAGAAAAACATTTCCGAGAAACCGGGAATGAAGAAAACCTCAGGTACGACTAAAGTAACCGGCGACGAGAAAAATGGGAAGGACTTACCGAGAAGGAGGAGTAGCAGAAAAAGACAAACCTAACGCCGGAGCGAAGTGGTCAGAGACGAAGAGGAGGAAAACTCAAGAGGTTAATACAAAGGAAGACATCTAAACTAAATGTATTCGTATCTCACTCTATTATTCTTTTGTTTATCGACGAATGTGTGAATTTATTTTATTTTTTTGTCACTAATGGAAATGGTGTACATACAGTATCTCTCCTTTCCTTTTTTTTTTTTTAAATCGATTTTTTCTTCGATTAATGTCAGCGAATTTAACGAATCATAATCTTAGGTTCAAATTTTCTTTGAAGTGTTGCTTTGCAAGAACATGACATAACAAAATTCTTTCACGATATCTAAACTGATGGGTTAAAAAGAAAAAAGACTTCAAAGGAATTATGCAACGATCATAACAAAACAAATCATTTTACAGGACAGCTTAAAAAAAAACAGATGAAATCTAAAGCAGATATTTGTTAAAAAAGAAAACAAAACCATTATAATAATAAAAAATCTCTCTCTATTATTTTTTTTGTTTATCGTCGAATGTGTGAATTTGATTATTATTTTTGTCAGTAGACACTAATCACACTAATGATGGTACAAATTTCATTTCCTTTCTTTTCTCCGATTAATTTCAGCAAAATTCAACGAATCATTTATTTACTTAATCGTAAGATCAATTTTTTTAAAGTGTTGCTTTGCAAGAACATGAAATATGCAACTAAATTCTTTCAAGATATCTAAACTGATGGGTTAACTTCAAAGGAATTATGCAACGATCATAACAAAACAAATCATTTTACAGGAGAGCTTAAATAAAAAACAGATGAAATCTAAAGCAGATATTTGTAAAGAAGAGAAAACAAAACCATTATAATAATAAGAATCTCCCTCTTAATGCAAAAGACGCAATAAGGAAAAGGAACATTAGCATTTCCCCTCAACTCTCTCTTTTCATCTAAATAAATCCTCAAAAACTTATCTTGTAATATTCAAAAAAAAAAAACTTTTATTTATTACAAACGGATTCAAATACTTGAATGAATGTGGTTCCAGGCTGCTCCAATTTGACCCAAGAAAATTATCACCTCTGCAATGTTGCTTGAACTTTGGTCATTCCCATATAAAACTGTTAACTCTACTGACGCGGTGTAAGCACTGCAAAAAAAAAAACAAAGAAACCCAAAGATCGATAAGTTAAACGTAGAACAACCGTTTAAACAAGATGAATCAAGCAGATACTCGGTTTTAAACCTAAAAGCCATGTCGCAAACAAAACTTTGGTTATTATGTTCCTAAGGTTGCAATGAATTTGCGATGATTTTAAAAACCAGACGGACACAGAAACATGGGGAAAAAAAAATAATGTTAGGAGAGGGGATTTCGGGGGAGTCAAATTAATCACCGAAGACAAGAAAAAAAAATTTCAGGACAGTTCAAGACTGGCCTTGACCCGACTGACTTGATATTAGGCTGATGGGTTTCCTTCATTATTCGTACCCCACTCTTCTTCAGCAGCCTCACTTCCGTTTACAAGCACAGCTCCATCCGTAGAAGAGTCACCATCCACATTTCCTTCTCCTTCTTCCTCTGCTTCTTTTTCTTCCTCTACATTCTTTTGTTCATCTCCATTTTCTTCTGCTACTAACTCCTCCTAAGTAAGAATAAAAAAAAGCAGTTCTTGTTGCTTAACAACTAATTACACGGGATTACTAGCACTTAACGAGACACTTGGTTGGACAAAGAAAAAGGGTCACCTCGTGGTCGATATCTCCGTTTTCAAGTGATTCCTCTTCCTCAACTTGCAAGTTTCTAAAGGCTTCCACGAGGGTCATTGACGATTTATCAGCATGGCTAGGATAATTTTCTGCAGCTGGATAAACTCCCCTGTAAACGAAGAAAAGTCGATTTAAGCATTTTCATTCTGTAATCATGGGGAAATATCAGTACAAGGATGCAGTAGGTACAAATGATACGCTGCTAAATTACCTTGTCTCTGAAGCTTTTGCTTCGACGGAAAGAGCAACTTGCCAATCTTCAAAAAGATTTGAGTACTCCTCAGGATCAGCCAGAGATTCTGCTGCTTTTGAGTTAACCTGTAGACAAGTGAAAAGCAACTTGAAACCATAACCTTCTTTTTTCTCCTTGACGACAATACTTTAAAAGTAAAGACAAGAAAATAACCTTGCTGAGATCTTTCCTCCAAAGAGCTACTATCTCAGAAACTTTGCTTGGAAGATACGATCTTGCCATCAGAGCAGCTTCTGGTATCCGGTTACTGGAGAAAGAAAATAGTGTCACACAAATAACCAAATGTGCATGAATTTGATTTTCCAAACTCCCAAGTGGATACTAATGAATTACCTCTCCACCAATAAGTCCAAGCAATCTTCCAATTTACCCAGCATGAATAGGCAAAGAAAGGCGACATTGTTCTTCCCTTGTTCTTTAGCAAGTGTTGCAAGTTTTGAAACACCTTCAGCATCTCCCAGAGAAGAATAAAGCAGTAACAAACCACTCAAATCCATCGCATACTTCATGCATTCTTCTGCCATTTGTAGCTGTCATGACAGCATCCAAACGCAAAGAGTTATTTGGAAATCCGCACATAGAGACGAAACCAGGCGACAAGAAACAGAGATTTTTTGCTATTTTAAAATCTTACTGCCATCTGCTCCCACATTATTGAATAAAACCTCAGCATCATGACGTAATTCAACTGATATATCATTTACTCGAAAGAATTTTTGTCTTTCTATTATCATTAGAATACATTAGGAAGAAATGCGAAGAGGAAAATATACCTTCCCAGAGGACATGGCTAACTCTCCTAATTGCTTCCACTTAGACTCGCTCTGTACTTCTACAGCAATTTCCTACAAGCATATAATAAATAAATAAAATTAATATATCGGCACTATAAAGGTGTAAAAAACGCATCTTACCCATCACACATTATATCACACCTGCGCAATTTCAAGTCGACCAAGTTGTATGGCCAACTCAAATCTGTAGTCAGGATCTGTCGCAATTTCCAGAGCATCTTCAATCATTCCTCGTGACTCCAAGAAATGAGCAACACTAGCAAGTGGAAAATTTTCCAAAATAAATATAAGAGAATATCCACGAAAGGCCCATTGATAGGTATGCAGCTATGTTAAGCATTAGAGTGAGTAGATCTAGACACGGCATATTTCTAAGAGAAATTAATCATATTATTCCTTCCCAAAGAAACAAAACAAGCATGGGAATAATTAGACTACAACACTACCTAAGCATATCACGTAACAAGAGATAAAGCGTGATAAATAGTGAATCGTATATATACACAGAAGTTTAGATACTAATTGATAACAATTACCTGTTATGCTGATCTTTAGGAATTGTTGGCAAGATTTCACTGGCTTTGTCGAGATCACCTCGCATCACAAGAGTCTTGTATTCAATCAGGCTTAGCAGCAATGTGTAACCTATAACACTGCATCCACAAAAAACAGAAGAACAGACATAAGAAACTTATAAACCAATCTGAAATAAACACACAAAATTTAGAAACTTACTTGAATTCTTTGTCTACCAAGAATACCCGACTTTGACTTGCAAGATAGCCCAACAAATACATTGGGCGGTCCAAATGATACATTGTGGTTACCTAGTATTAAGATGTCAGGAACTATCATCAAAACCTAGTTAAAATAAAAAACAGCAGTCAAATTAAAGTAACCAATAGATATGCACAATACCTCGCCTCCGACACAATAGTTAAGCTTCCAGGAAGAGTTGTTGTAAATGAAGCAGTCACCAACCCATATACCTGTCCTAACACGTTCATCATTCTCATGGAGAACCTCAAAAGCATCCTCGACACCTTCTTCCTCAGTAGATCTTCCACTATCAAAATGTGAGGAAACTAAGTCGCGCTGTAAAAAACAGGAACATAATAGTAAGCACTTGGACTATCCAAGAATTGCATATAGAAATTCACAAATTAAGAGCGTTTGTTAGACAGGATCCTCACGTTGTATTTCAAGATGTAGAATGACGTGTCACTAGCAATGGCTACTAGATCACCACTGTCAGCCCAATAAAGATTCTGCAAACGTTATGTGGCAACACTAAGAATTAGAGAAGAAACAAACGAGGACAACCTCCAAATGACATTAGCTTCCGCTATATCAAATGTGTCTTAGAATAAACTTCCCAAAACAAACTGAGCCAGGTTAAATGGGATACCTTTACAGTGACGTCAATTCGTTGAATTAGCCTACATTCAGCCCAATCATAAAAGCAGATGAAATCACTTGAACACATGGCTAACAAGGTTCCTCCAAAGATCTTCTCAGCTGAAAACGTAGGGCGGATACTCTTCTTTTCCTGAAAGTGTCATTTGGGAATGAGCCAAATCCGAAAATAGATATATTCATGACAAGTATCAACCATACTTCCAACAACCATAGTAACATGCTCTAACAAAAAGTTTTAGAACAGAAAGAAGGAGAGTAACGAACCTGGAAATTTTTGCTAAAGGTCTTAATCTTCGATGAGCTTTCTCTAACCGCACATTCCCCCTCGGACGACCAGACGAATTCCAGTCCGGAACCAAATGACCTATTTCTCCAAGCCAAAGCTGTGTAGATTATATACTCCCCGTCACCACAGACTACGACAAACCTCCCATTAGGATTGTGCTTCAAGCTCTGAGAGTCAAGAGTACCCACATATGAGACATAGATAACCCAAGAACAGCACAACTTTGAGGCACATGGCAATCGTATCAGCAAGGCAGAAAATCTTTTGCCTAAATAAAGTATATAATAAGCCAAAACATCACAAAACCAATGTTACAAGCGTTGTATAACACTCACTTGTGGATAAAGATCACAGGTCCCCAACTCTTTAACAGCCAAGGGTAGCCTCTCTCCATCGGTAACCTAATGTAGAGAAGAAAAGCTTAATACCAACAGGCAAACAAATAAACAAATTGGTGATCCTACGCACAGTATATGAGTTACAAGTACGGCATATACCTCATAATCTGCACCAATACTTTTGACGTTTGCAGTTTGAATTTCATTATGCTTAGCCCAGATGATTTTTCCAGTATTGTCCATGCTAGCGACAGGAATTTCTCGTCCAAGTTTAACCATGATGGTTCCTTCATCATATCCGATCACAACCCTGTGAAGTGAAAACAACTAGGTTTATGGTCTTGCAGGACAATTCAATGCAGTACTAAAAACAAGTAGAGCTCTCATTATCGCTTCTAACAAATCCAAGAACCCTAATCTTTACAAATCGTCAAAGTTAAGGAGAAAAAACAACCACAAGGGTGCCAAATATTGAACGCCAGAAGCAAAGATTCGATTAATGCTGTTTTACTAACAACTGAGAGAGAACATCTACTTCCAGACAACAGTTCTGAAAAGCTTCGAAATATTAATAAGAGGAGAGAGCAAAAATCTAAAATCTTACCTGCGTGAACTTTTAATGTAACCAATAGCCCAAACTCTCTCGAGACCATAATTTAATGTGTTCTCTAGCCTGCAAGAAAAAACAGACATTGTCAAATTTGGATTACAAACGAAAGGACAGGAAAAGAAATTGGTAATGGTGGATAGGTGCACAGGAATGAAGCCCAACGGAAAATGGTTTATTGTAGGCATAAGCAGCATTAAATTATTAATGTCCAAACCTATTCATAGTACCTGTACGTAGTTGAATGCCAAATGCGAACGGTGCCATCTTCAGAACCTGTGATTATAATTGGAAGCTCGGGATGGAAACATACTGCAGATACATTGTGTGTGTGCCCGTCCAGGGTCTGGACACAACTTTTTGTTTGATAGTCCCAGACCTGATGCCCGAAATTCAACTAGTAAATAACCTGAAAGCACATAATGTCCAGTTGAAGTGTATTATCTAGCATAGAAGTGAAAGGATGCAGACCTTAGCAGTGTGATCATCAGAGCCAGTGATAAGATAGGGCTTATCCCCACCAGTGAAATAATCAACACAATTTACTCCTTTCTGATGGGCATCCAATGTAAAATTTGGGTCTGGAGAACCAAGATTCCAAATCTGAAGATGAACAAGCATGTAATCATAGTATGAGCTAACGGTTTTCAGAACCTTATGCGGAGTAAGCCATAAAAAAAATTACATGCGAAGACCATTCCATCACCTTTATGGTACGATCAAGTGATGCACTGGCAAAAGTGTTGGTGTCTTTTGGATTAAATGTGACTTGCATCACATAGTGCGAGTGTCCCTCGAATATCTGAGTGCAAGCCCAACCCTTTTCCCAGTCCCAAAGCTTTATGAGCATATCATCAGAAGATGACAGCACATATGGAAGGGTTGGATGAACAGCCACACATCTAATGTAGTCTGAATGAGCCTCAAACACTTTAACCTTGTCCATGGTATTGTAATTGTATACACGAATATACATATCATCAGCTCCTGCCACAACCCACTGCTTTCGCGCTATAAACTTGGCTGACCGAACTGCAAAGTCGTAAAATAATAAGTCAAATAGTAACAAACTAAACAAGACTATAGTACACACAACAAAAAAAATAAATAAAACAATAACAGTATAAGTTTATAACTAAAGACGCAGAAGAAAGAAAACTGTATACCTGGTAATTCGGTCACCTCGAAGGATTTTGCCATCACCTTAGGATTATCAAGTAAGATTCAGATTAAAAGAAGTTCCAAGAATCATAAGAGATCCTAAAATTCTATGAAAACACTCTGAAACCTAATAGAATACACGAAGAAAAGAAACATTTAATTGCACTTTTGGTCATTCGAATTCACAAATTGTTCTTGTACAATAAGTGCATAACGAAAAAGTTTTAGAAAAAAAAATCAAAACCCACCTGTGTCTGGTAGTTCCAAATACACAAGGTTCCAGAATACAAACTTGCTAGAATCCTGAAAAATAATGTTATATCAGGTTCCAGTCATGAGTAGCAGAAAATAACGGTACAAAACTATAAAAGCAACGAAAGTGGTGCCAACTCCACAAATTTAGGGAAACCAAAGTGGTGAAAAATCGTCTTTCAATCACTAAAATGAAACTAAAATATGAATAAACATGATACTAAGATGCAAGAAAGCACAAATTGAAATTACCATGGTTCTGTAGGATGAAGATCCACAGATTTTACTCTCTCAGACCTTTGAGCTAATTTCCTCTGATCCAAAAACAACGCAAATCAAATAATTAACACAGGAACGAGTGATCTAAAAACCCAAAATACTAAAATGGATATTAAAACAATACCTTGATCTCGAGTCTGAGAGGCTGTTTCCACCACACAAACAAAAAGACAGAAAGCAGTAGTCAGTACTAAACTAAACAAATATGATCACTAAACTAAACAAATATGATCGTAAAAATAAAAACACATTTCTTCTATCACACATTCGTAAATTAACAACACTCTAAACAACAAATTTTACCAAAATTTAAAGTATCAACAAGGAATTTTACCAAAACAAAACAGCTAAAAGCCTAAAACCCAATACATAGCGCAAACAAATTTCTGCACCTCGTGTGCACCTAAACCCAAAAATACCAGATCTTCTCAAAATGCAACGGCCATGATCCAAATGTCAAGAGGCTACACTCGATTTCATGCCATCGGCAGCAACACAACACGAAATTTACAAATCGGATATTAGAAATCGAAGCGAAACATGCGATCTGAGACTACACGATCTCACTCAGATTACGCTTAATCACAGAAGGGCAGGAAATCGAGATCGCATCGTAAACAGATTCACTAGAGATCTGGGAAGAACAAATAGTAGCGGAGAGATTTTCACTACTCACCATATTTACAGATTAAGCGGAAGAAGGCTGTGCCCTTCGGATCTCGTATTATCGCTTAAATCTGTAAATCGGAGATCGAAGAACGAACGACGTTAGCTCGGTGTGATAAAAGAGAGGAAAAAAAAATTAAAATCATAAAAAGGAGTTTTTGCTTGAGAATTAAGAACGACTGAGTAATACATTTACGAAATTGCCACTAAAGCTTGGGCCTCTCAAAGGCCTACTATATATATTAATCAACTTAATCGGATAAGAGCCCGTTTATATATACCCAAATAATTAAAATGCTTGGCTCGTACATTATGAATTTAAGTTCTTAAATGAAAATATTCGATCAAATAAAGTATTGTAATATTTAAATTGTAATCCATTTGTCAATTTAAATTGTAAGAGAATTTTCTGAAAATCCACATTGACGACAAATTAGTACGCAAATCTTGTTTTCTGACAAATATTTCACTGTTAGTGACGCTGTTTGTGGTATTCCATCATCATGGAAAGCTCAACCACAAAACTCTGCAATTTTTTTTTATCTCCATTAGTTTTTGATTAACTTTGTAATAACTTTACCTTAAACCTAAAAAGAAGATCTCTAATTATCTATTTCCTCTTCTTTATTTAAGAATCAGTTGTAAGTAAAGTAAACTGAGATGAATGAGTTAGATTTGGAAGAAACCTACAATTAGTGATATTTGAGAGAGCCAAGTTTATCTCTTCATCTTAATTCGCTTGATCTCACCAAATAAATAGTAAACCGTAATTATGATTACAAAATCATAAGCGAATTGATTAGCTTCACAAGTTTGAGTCTTGCAAGACAATAACATAGTCAAGAAAAGAGAAGGTAAATATATAATAAATCGTTCAAAGGCAAGTTGACCGCATAGCGCAGTGGATTAGCGCGTCTGACTTCGGATCAGAAGGTCGTGGGTTCGACTCCCACTGTGGTCGTTTTATTCAGATTTTTTTTGTTTTTTACATAGGATGTGGTCGTTTTATTCAGATTTTTTTTTGTTTTTTACATAGGATAGAATTTCTCTTTACACATTCTAAAATTAGACGAAGGGAACTATTCTTTCGTACTTTTAACTTTAAGAAAATCCTTATTTTGAAGTGTAACGAAAGCTAAGAAACATAACAATTTCTTTCTTTTTTTTTGTTCAAAAAATTTATAGCTTTTTTTGTATTTGTCCTCTGTTTTTCCACAATTTCTTTTTCATTTTTCCTTTTGAGTGAAGGTGGTGATGGATAGAGAAGAAAGGAGAAGAAGAATAATGGAAAGAGGATCAGATCGTTTAGCTCTAATCACAGGCCAATTACATAATCTTGATCATCCTTCGTCGCCCTCGTCTTCTTCTTCCTCTCACCAACGTACATACAGCGAATCTTTCATACCAAAGAATCAATCTGATCACCATATGATTCAAGAAAGCCCATCTCTTAAGTATCAATTCAAAGGTACCCAAATTTTACTCGTATTTGCTCTCTCATTTTCTTCTTGTATGATACCTCTTTTTGTCTATACGTTTACCATGTTATACTAATATGTATTCTTTTTATCAAGTGAAATTATAATCAATTTAGTGTTTTAAGCAATCAAAGTTTTTTATTTGTAAACTCAAAGCCAAGCATTAAAAAAACCCTCCATTTTGTATATCGCATTTTGTTAAGGTTCATGGGTATGAGTGTTTTGGTATCTTCTTTATTGCTTTAGATCCCATCTTACTTCATATGTTATAGTCCCAACACGTCTCATCGAAATAAATGGATCTTAACGATCTATTTTGAGTCGAATCCAAGCTACTATTGGATCAACAATATCCACATTAGATCAAGATATGCTATCATGTTGAAGTTTTTGGATTTACAAGGCTATAAATGAAGTGGTTCATATATTTTACATATATTATATTAGATTTCATCTTATGCTAGAAGTGAGACTCCTAACACATTTGTGTTAAAATTTACAGAAATAGTTTATGGGTAAAAAAACAGTATTTGATACTATTTTATATTGTCATTTATAAGCTCTAACTGATTGCCCTGAATAGCTGAATTGGTTAACTGCTATTGTCTCTTATTCTCATACTCATGATGAATGCAGAGGAAGTAAAGGCAAGAGAAGAACCAAAACTCTCCACTGTTCTTCAAGACCCCATAAAAAGTGAACCAACAAAACCAGAAGAAAGAAGAGCAATAAAGAGTCAAAGTCAACGACCTAGGACTTTCTTCAGCTCCAAGAAACTCAATGCTAGCATCATAAGCTCAGAAAGAAGTCGGAGTTTAAGCTCTCTCACAATAGCTGTTTTTGTTGTTTTACTCCCGAGATTGAACATCCTAAGATCAGACACTATCTTAGCTTTGAGACCTCTTTGGTTGCTCCTGCTTACAGATTGTGCTATAGTGATGTCTTATCTCACCATGGAAGTTCCTGGAGGAGGATCGAGCCATGAAATGGAAGAAGAAGGAAAGAAGAATGGAGAAAATTGGTCTGATGCAGAGAAGCTTCTAGAAAGAGGAGTTGTTGTGTATCAAGCTCTTCGTGGAATGTTCATAGATTGTAGTCTTTATATGGTTGTTGTTATTTGTGGAGTCTCTCTTCTTTGAGTTTTATTTCTTTCAGTTTAATTTTTGTTGGATTTTTATTTGGTTAAGATTATGTTTCTATGTTGATTCTCTCTTATCAAAAGCTTTTCATTTGGAACTTGCTTTGCTTGAACACTTTTTTTCAACTGGTACGTATATTATTTTTTGGAAAATGAAACTGATATATATTTCTTTACCTCCATTTCAATTTCTTGAAGTATTTTTGCAAAATGATTTAATAACAGAGTTTCCGTATTCTTTTTATATTTCTTTCCTTAATTTTAATAGTTCTACTACAAAGTCGTATTGGGTTATGAAGAAAATAGTGTTTTTATTAAAAGTAGGCCAAAACTGTTAAAAATAATATCCTAAACTAAGAAAGAAAAAAAAAAAGGTAGCTAGAGTAGCTCCATCTAGTCTTGAGATAATTTTTTTTAAAAAAACATCACCTCTAAGAACACAAACAACACTACAAAAAAAAGTTTTCATTTTATGAATTTCTTTTTTATCAGAAGTAATATATGACTAAACATCTTCTCGCTACAAAGTGTGTGTAAATCAGTTGATGAATTAATATTTGTCTTTTCCATAAATAATTTGTTTCAATGAAGAATCGCTTCTAGTGACCACTCATGAAAAGATATCATTAGAAAAAAAATCAGAAAAACAAAAGAAAATAATAAAAGAGAGTTTTTTTCTGTTGTTGTGATACATCTAACCTCAAAAAGGTAAGTTTATCTTTGACCCAAAAAAGAAGAAGGTAAGTTTATCTAAAGAAGATGAGTGACAAAGAGAAGCCCAAAGAGAGAGGAAGAGCGATGTCGTAATCGGCCCACTCCCACCGCTTATCCTCTCCAATCACTTCATTTTCTCTTTACCATATAATTCTCCAAACCCTTGTGTTTCATATACGTAAAAGTATGGTCCACCATTTCCATATGGGCACACATTTTTCAGTAAAAACTTTTCTTTTTCTTTATAATCGAGAATCTTGCACCAAAAACTCGTGAATGGTCAGGTATTTTTTGTCATTCAACGTATCTATAACCCTTAAGCATGATTTAAATTGTAATAGAGATCAACTATAATTAAAATCACGATAAAAGGATTCGAACTCGAGTCTTCCGATTCATTAGTAAGGGGATTGCTTTTTTCAACAAAAAATTACATTATCAAATATCAATAACAATTGTTTCATTTGGGTAGTTAAGAAACTCATAGAAATATCTATTTTTCAATATATATCAAATTATTCCTTACAGTTTTATTAAACATATAAAGATCAGATATACACTAGAACAAATTTGTGACCTCATGGTTTTTGTACAAATCTCAAGACGTGAATTAAAGCCACTAGCCACGTGTGACGTTTCAATTTTTGGTTTCGCGACATATCATCTACACAATACCTAAAGGATAAATATGTAATTAAAATATATTTACTTCCAATTTTTTTTTTTTTTTTCTCATCAAGAGTGACTAGTATTTATAGTCGACTTCTCTTCTTTTGGTAAACCACACACACAAAATCTTCAACAAGAAGAATCTTTCATCTTGATTCAAGTGTGAAACGAAAATGTGTTACAAAAAGATTCTCCCTATTGTTATTCCTCCGGAGAGCTTCCACGAAAATATGCCGGCGGCCGAAGAGACGGTGGTCACGGAGGTTGTAGTCACCGCCGGTCACCGTGACGGTGGCGGTGGAAAGAAGAGGTGCGTGTGTTCACCGTCAAAGCATCCAAGATCGTTCAGGTGTAGGTATCATCATCATGAATATCAATGGCTTCCTTCTTCTTCTTCTTCTTCTTCTTCTTCTTCTTCTTCTTCTTCTTCTTCTTCTTCTTCTTCTTCTGCTTCTTCTTCTTCTTCTTCTTCTTCATCATCTATCCACAAATAACACAACATCATGTAATCAATAATTATAGTTCTATATTTGTATTATTCATGGTTATTTATTCAGTAATTTAATCAAAGTAGAGATTGGTGTTGTGTTTTTCGTAAGGTCTATTCGTCGATTCTCTTATAAAACGATGTTGTTTGATCCCGAAGTAGTTATGCAAATCGGTAGCAATCGATTTCTGTACAATTAGTTTTTTTTTCCTTTAAATATACAGAAAATATTGATGTTCCGTGCTGATTAATCGACTTGAAGCACTAAAGCATCCAACTACATAAAAAAAAAATAATCGATGTAATTGAATTGATTGTTTAATTACGGTCATACGGTGACGGGTGATCAATAGTTTGTACTTGGGACTTGGGAGCACATGAATTTTAATAATATATCGGATTTTTAGTGTACATCGGTCCAATCTAAACCAAAGTTTTCTCCCAAATTGATCCAATATAGACGTTATGCCAATATGGATTGGTAAAAGGGTTAATCATACGAAGAAGTTCTTTTTTTTTTTGAACATTGATATCAAGAAGCTAGCTCTAAATACAGAGAAAAATGATATGCCACTTTGAATAGAAAATATTGTTTTAAATGCATTGGTGAAATTCGTTAGGAATAACGACACGTTATACATTTTTCAAAGTACTGAATTTTGGATTTCAATTCAAAATCAAGAAACAATCAAAACTATATATTATTTATGTTTCATCAAAATTTTAATGTGGTATTTCAATACGTATGATTGTTCTACCGATCGTAAATTTTATTTTAGATCATGTACAAGCCAAGATGATAAAACTAGATTCTGATATAATATTAAGTTCGTTGAACTTCTAAATTCAAAACCAATCGCTAATGAAAAAACTGATCCATAATATTTATATTTTACTCAAGTTTTTTGCTAACATTCAATTTAAAATTTCCTAACACAAAAATTTCGTAATATGAGTTATACTAATGTCTATAGGCAGGAAAGAGCAAGAAGAAAAATTGTGGTATGGTAGGAGTTGTTATAATTAAGGGCATGATCGGTTTTATTTGTGGTTTTAAGTTTTTAACATTTGTTATTCGTTTTTCTATTTTAATTGATTTAAAAGTTTAAAAATAATCCGTGTATTTGTAAAGCTGTAAGTTTTACTTCAAATTTGAGTCTATATATTTTGAACATGAAAATCCATCCAAATCTAATAAAATATTCTTTAAAATCAAATCCATAAGTAAATTCGTATGATTGAATAACACGTGATTTAATAATTAGTTTTAAAATCATGGAAGTTATAACACTAGATTTGAAAATGAATTTTAGAATCATAGAATCAATGACATTGGATTTGGTTTGGAATTTCAAATCCATTAAAATACATAAAGCAATAACTTCACTTAAATTTTTAATCAATGATTGTCTTCGATGCTTTAAATAGTTGTAGCATGCAAGTGAGCACATTAATCAGTAGACTAGTAGAGCGTTAATTAAAACTACAAAAAAAAGTAAAGGCGATTCGTCGTAGTGATTAGTGGATTAGTGGATTAAGGATTGCCGAATTATAATGGGCTTAAAATAATTGAAGGCCCATACCCGACAATGGCGAAGCGGGTTTCCGACAATGCCAGATAGCGAGCGGGTTTTTAATGTTGCCTTTACTATTCCCAGACAGCTAAAATCCATTACCCGAGAGAGTTGTGTCGATTTCGCGATCGAGGAGAGGAGTCTTCTCCGAAGAAAACTGATTCAGATCAAGGAGAAAAGAGAAGATATTATTATGTCAACGAACACTGAATCTTCTTCTCTTCCTACTCAAAGGTATAACCTTTTCGCTCTTTTCTTTTTTCAATCCCTGCTTCTAGTCTCTGAATATTCTTTGATCTTCTCCACTGAATTTACTTTTTCGATGTTCATTTTGTGAATGCCGAACTTTGTGTGCCCTGGGATCAATTTTTTTCATGTCAACGATTGACCATGAATTTTCATTTCATTAGTCTTTGGTGGGCTTAAGATCTAGTCATTTCGTATTGTCTGATTCTGATGGAGTGAGTTTTAATTCCACATCTCTCTCATGTCGAATCTCTACATATTTATGATCTTCAATTCTCGATTTCAATCTCTTTAATTTTATGATGACGATCTACGAATTTCTTTTTACTAGTGATGAACATTGGCTCTATAGAGCTTTGTTTACAAATCTCTCAACTTTCAGATTAGTAATTTTCATGGCCCATTTGTTGTCTCATCATCTTACCTCCTTCGCACGTTTCTGTTTTAACCAATTTTGTGGTCCTCCATTGTAGTTTTGTGGCGTGAGATCAATATATGGAATAAAGTTAATTTTTTTTGGGATTTTTCTTCCGCTAGTCTTAAAAGTTTGACCCTTTGAACATCTACAATCTCAACACTATGGTGCTATTAGTTACTTGCTTTTTGATCTCTTGCCTTCTTTGCTTTGAACAGGCTGTTAGGTAAAGTGGCATTAATAACTGGAGGAGCCACAGGGATAGGAGAGAGCATAGTTCGTCTATTCCACAAGCACGGAGCAAAAGTCTGCATTGTCGATTTGCAAGATGATCTCGGAGACAAAGTATGTAAAAGCCTACTTGCTACTAAGTCCTTGGAGGAGGCAGAAGCTTGTTTCATCCATGGTGATGTCAGAGTAGAAGACGACATTAGCAAAGCCGTTGACTTTGCAGTCAAGAAATTCGGAACGCTTGACATACTCATCAACAACGCAGGACTAAGCGGAGCACCATGCTCTGATATCCGTAACAACAGTTTGAGTGAGTTCGAGATGATCTTTGATGTGAACGTGAAAGGAGCTTTCCTCGGGATGAAACACGCGGCTAGGGTTATGATCCCTGAGAAGAAAGGTTCTATAGTGTCTTTGTGCAGTGTAGGAGGTGTTTTGGGAGGTGTTGGTCCTCATGCTTATGTTGGTTCCAAGCATGCGATTCTAGGCTTGACGAGGAGCGTTGCAGCTGAGCTTGGACAGCATGGGATACGTGTGAACTGTGTTTCGCCTTATGCGGTTGCGACAAAACTCGCTCTGGCTCATTTGCCTGAGGAAGAGAGAACGGAAGATGCGTTTGCTGGTTTCAGGAGTTTCGCGGCTGCAAACGCGAATTTGAAAGGTGTTGAATTGACGGTTGATGACGTGGCGAACGCTGTTTTGTTTTTGGCGAGCGATGAATCGCGGTACGTAAGTGGAGATAATCTGATGATTGATGGTGGATTCACTTGCACTAACCATTCCTTTAGAGTTTTCAGGTGATGTTTTCTTTTTTGGGCCTGATTAATGTCGAATATGTCAAATAATTTTTAACTTTGGAGGTTAAATGTGGCTTTGATTTTCTTTATGATTGTTACTTTTAGCATTAGCAGAGAGATTGGTAGAAAGTTATGGAACAAACATATTTGTTTGATGTATTACATTTGCTTTAAGATAATGCTATTTGCTAAATCTTATTATATAAAAGAGAATCTTTTAATAAATGTAGAATAATTATAATTTCCTAAAATCTCTCGACGGTCAGAAGAGTTGACAAATCGCGATATATGTGACATATATCGATACAATAATATAAAATTTTCAATATTTAATATTTATTTTTAAAAAGAAAAATCTATATTTTTTTTAAAAAATAGATTATAATAAAATAGAAAAAGGTAAATAAAAAATATAAAACTACAAAATAGAAAAATAAAACTAAAACTATAAAACTATAATTCATAATATGTTTTTAATTTGGAAAATTATCATGTTTGTAGAAAATATAGATCAATTTCGAATTTCTTAAATACAAATAGTATTATGAATTATAGTTTCATAATTTTCTTAAAATACTGTCCCAATTTTAAGAAACAACAGATATTAATTTAAAAACTAAATATATAGAACATAATATGGGTTATCAATTTAAAATCTAAATATTTTGACAATTTCCGTTTATCATTGTCTATCTAAGTTAAACAAAATTTATTTGGTACCAACCAGCAACTAAAATACAAAGCCTGCTTTAAAAGTCTTATTAGACCCAATTTTTGAAATACCACAAAAGGCCTGGTGGGCCAGTATGTAAATTTGATAACGGTAAACGATATTACGACAGTGCCACCGGGAGCTGTTTCTGAAACAAAGAATCCTAATTCTTCAAGGATGAGTAAAGAAGATGAAAAGTAACAGTAAAATTGGGTTCCGGTTTTTATGGTCAACTTGAGATAGTTTTTTCCTTTTCTCAAAGACCTTCTTTTGTTTTCGTTCTTCCGTGATTCTGTCGATTATTCTCGTCTCTCTCTCCCCGATTGAATTACGCCCTTGATTTCACCTCACACGGTACCTAAACCTAACTTTATCAGTTGTTCAATCGGAATCTAGTCAGAAATAAACCGAAATTACAAATCAGAAAATAAACCGAAGTGATAATAAACCGAGATAATAGTGAAACGCATCGTATAATAAACCAAGATAATAATGAAACGCAGCGTATAGGATTCGTGACGAAATCGGAGGAAATCTCTCAGCTTAGCCTTCTTCCGCCGCTTGTCGCCGTCACAGCTACTAGGGGACCGGTATGTATAAAATATTCAGCGAGTTTTTCTTTTGATACACGAATATACCATTAAACCCTAATCCCACTTCCACAAGTAACACTGGAATCTGTTGTTTCTGAAAATCTCTTGAGTTTTAGATCCGTATTATTATAAGCTAAAGTTGGGACGGAGCCATGGTGTGGTGTAGCCATTGTTCCTCGCATGTTAACGGAATGCGCGAGGGTGGTAGATTGTAAGTGTTTCGTTTTTCTTCCAGATTTGTGGTTTCTTTTTCGGCTCCGAGTTATGAGCTTTGCTTTTTGTAGGGCATGTGAATTATGCGGGAGGGTATTGGAGGATTTCTATTTTTCTGAAGATGTTACATTCATTAAGAATGCGGCTGGACAGGTATACTCATCAAAGCCTCCTCTGCTTTAGACTTAGAATCTTGATTCAAAGCTTATAAAGAGATGTGATCAAATAGGATGCAAGATTAGAGAAGGGTGTATGTGAGAGCATTTTGAGATTATTATTATTGTCAAATATGTTCTGTAGTGGTTTGTATGACCCATTTGGTGCCTTTTGTTAGCAACTTTTCAGAGATACTGTCTTATCCTCTCTCTCTTTCAGACAATTTGGTGCCTTTTGTTTTCTTTGACCAAAATTGTTCAAGCATACACGTTATTTCTGTGCCTGCAGAGCCAAGCCTCGGGTAACATAGTGTCGAGTGTTCATAGTGGAAAGTCAAGCTCACGTGAAAGGAGAATTAGAATAGGTATGTCTTTTTTTGTATATGACTTTCTGTAACTGTTGGCCTAAATAGTGCAACTTATACATGATCTAGTCTTCAGCTATCGTTTATGTTCGATTTGATCTTAACATTTTCCAGTTTGCAGACATTCCTTGGGTCATATTTTAGCTTAGCTTCTTATTCTGTATTTTCCATCCTTGGATCTCCTGCCAAACTTGAGGCCATGTGACTGTTTGAAAAATCATTGCATATTTTTTTTTTTGTTTTGTTTTGGCAGCTAGAGATGAGTTTATGAATTTGAAAGATGCATTGGGAATTGGTGATGAGAGAGATGATGTGGTTAACATGGCTGTCCGATTCTTTACAGTATGTTTAGTTTTTACACATCTTCTGAATATTAATCTCTCAGGATTCTTTCACCTTCTAACTCCATTTATCTTCTGAAGATGGCAGCTGAGCAAAACTTCACTAAAGGGCGCAGAACTGAACTAGTACAGTCTTCCTGTCTCTACTTAACTTGCAGGTTAGATTCTTAGCAATCGTCTTGCGTATTTGTTTCCCCTCCTTCTATATAATGCTTAGTTATGTTATGAGTGATGTGTTATTCACCGTATATTGACCAAAACTTTTTCTGATCTGAAGGGAAAAGAAAATTCCGTTACTTCTTATAGATTTTTCAAGCTACCTTCGAGTTAGCGTGTAAGATGAGTTGTTTTCATTCCCATACTTTTATCTTTCTTTGATGGCCTAATTACCTGTTAAGTCTACTTCGAGTAATGCGGGTATTGCTGTTTTTGGTTTCATTTTTTGTCTAGTTACGAGTTAGGTTCTGTGTACTTGCAACTCTGTGAATTGCTGTACATTGTGGAAAACAAGAACTATGAGAATCTTGTTGATCCTTCACTTTATATTCCTCGATTCACAAACAGTAAGTATCTCGTCTTTTGGCTCCCATTCTTTTCTGTATTGGCTTGATGCAGAACTTTAGTGTATTCTATTCTTTTTTCTTTATTTGGTGTGAACATCAGCCAAATTACAAACAGGTATATCAAATTCTTTTTTCATCATACATTTGCAGGCTTATTGAAAGGTGCACAGGATAAAGCAAAAAATGTCGTGAAAACGGCTACAGCCATTATAGCTAGTATGAAGAGAGATTGGATGCAGGTGTGACTCTTTTATTTTATTGTTAAAAAGATTGTAACCTACATGTTCTTTGTCTTAGAGTTATTTTTTTATTATTATTGGCTTGTGTTAATGTTGGCCATCTATTGGCTTGCAGACCGGCCGGAAGCCAAGTGGAGTATGTGGAGCAGCAATTTACATAGCTGCCCTTTCTCATGGTGTCATGTGCGCTAGGACGGATATTGTAAGAATATGATTTAGCTGTTAGAGAATATTGTTGTTATAGATGAGAGCAACGGTGTTTCAAATAGTCGTGTTTTGAGCAGTGCCCTTTGTTTCAGTAATTTTACTGCAGATTTGATGTGTTTTCTAAATATTTCAGGGAAAAATTGTACATATGTGTGAAGCAACAATAACGAAAAGATTGATTGAGTTTGCTAATACCGAGGCTGCAAGTTTAAATGTGAGTTATTTCATTTGCAGGATATGTTACAATAATGCGTACTTCTCCGCTCAATTTGTTTGCCCGCATACTACTTGTTGTTTTTAATGTTCATTCTTTTTCAATGGTTGTGTACATGCGTGGCTAGGTTGATGAGCTCACTGAAAGAGAAAGGGAATTGCATAATAATACTTTTAATTCGACACCAAATTCTGACAACGGAGTGAACTGTATACATAAGGATTGTAAACCTTTTCGTTGTGGATTATGTGAGAGCTGTTACAATGTTGTAAGTCTCCGTATTTTATGCCTAACTTTTTCTCTTTCCATTTCTTGCTGCTTACGTAACTGCGATTCCTTGACAAAATGGCTCCGAGATTTGACAGTCAGATGCTTTTCTTTTTCAAAATTTTCGCCAGTTCGATAAAGTTTCAGGTGGACTTGATGGTGGGTCGGATCCTCCTGCTTTCCAGCGAGCAGAGAAAGAGAGAATAGAAAAAGCAGCTAGAGAAGAAAACGAGGGGGGAATTGGTAGCTTAAACCACGATGAACCACTAAATGTAAGCAAAAGGGAAAAACAATGTCCTGGTGAGTGTACTTCATGTCTAATCAGATTAAACTTTTTGTTTTTTTCTTGCTATCGTTTGAGAATCTTTGTGTGCATTGTCCCAGAGAAAGGCCAAGGAGAAAAAGATGGACATTCTGAAGCGTCGGATGAATCAGGCAGCTTTTCTGATGTTGATGATTCTGAGGTGGGCAATGATTTTGCTTTCTTGTGTTGTTGTAATAGATGCTAAGTCTGAATGTTTAAACTCTGAATATGGGTGTCTCGGTCTTTTTCCCTTACCACAGTTTCACTTGTTTACATATTATCGTTGGTCATAATATTTCACTGTTTCCCCAGGTGGATGACAATCTTCTCAATGAGGAAGAAACGCGGTTGAAGACGATTGCCTGGAATTTACAAAACAGAGAGTATCTTGAGGTGATAGGCTATATTAATCATTTATCTTTTCTTGGATTCACTCTTTGAGTTGTTGTTACATACATAAGATATTTATATTGTTTGGTAGGAGCAAGCAGCAAAGGAAGCAGCTCTGAAGGATTTAAACGCGAACAATGCTAATTGCCCAGAATATGCAAGAAAGCTTGTCGAAGCTTCTAAAGCAGCTGTGACAAAATCTAGAAAGGTGACTAACTTTGCAATAATGTTCATGCTTTTGTAAATATCAAGTATGATGTCCATTAATGAGCTAATATGGTTCTCTTGTTGTATTTTTCTCTCTTGATATAAGGAAAAGCAACAAAAGCGGGCTGAGGAAGCAAAGAACGCGCCTCCCCCAGCCACAGCTATGGAAGCTGTTGGCAGAATGCTTGAGAAAAAGGTAAAAATGTGTATCATAGTTATATTCATCAATTAAAACCCTCCTGATACCGGAAGTTCATTGTCAAGAACATATCTATGAAACATTGCGCATTGTCAAAATCAGCACATTTTTGAGTTTGTGTTTCTTGATCTCTTTCTCTTACAGAGACTTAGTGGGTTAATCAACTACGACCTTTTGGAGGAGCTCTTTGATACATCAGTAAGTTTCTACTATTGTTTGGCCTTGGTTTTCATGGCATTTTTTCAGGTCTATGAGTACAACTTTCTTCTCATTTCTTCTTTCAGCCAGTTGAGGAATCACCCAAGAGATCGAGAATCAAGACAGATATGGAGGAGAAGAAGAAGGAAGTGAAGAGCAATGAACATGAAGACGATAGCGATGAAGAGATGAGCGAAATATTTAAATGAGGTGAACAGAGAACATCAATGTTCAAATTTTTGGCCTATTTTAATTATAAATCGTAGAAGAGGAGTAGTCTTGTCTACGATTTCAAATATTTTCTTTATCATTGTTACTTTTAGCACTAGCACTTAGACTGGTAGAAAAGCCATTGAAATAACATATTTATATGATGTGTCATTTTTGCTCTTAAACATTGTTTTAGTGAAACCAAACACACATGAATCAGAGTTTTTTTGGATTAAACGCAATATCAAGATTAAAGAGGATTTGTATCCAGAAATACTTTTTTCTGGGAATTCTTGTTTACATTGGTTAACAATATATTTCAAAAATCTGTTTAGCGTCTACAAACATTTTGATTATTGGATTTACTCTAGACTCTTGTTTGTTGCACACTAGAAATTAAATTAAAAAGGTTGAAAAAAATACCAAATGATGTCTCCTGAGTCTTGAGTCTTAGAACTAGACAACTGTACAACTTTGACGTGAAATTGTTTGATTAACTGTATTTACTTGAATCCCACATGCTACTTTTGCCTGATCATCATCAAAATATTTAAAAGAAACAGAATCAAACTAAAATAATAAGACAGTATAAAGTCTTATATTAATTAATTGTCGTAGAGAGGAATTACTAAACCGAATTATTGCGTAAAAAACTCGAGTTAAAGTAGCTTACCTTTAAAGGGAAACGGAAGAACAAAATGCCAAGTTTTCCGTTAGTCTCCGTAACGGTGTCAAATTCGACGGATCCCATAGCCAAATCGTGAATCAGGTGAATGACGTCAGCAAACACCGTGACGCCGTCAAGCTCCGTCTCTGCCTCCAGGTAAGACGAACCCATAGCCCTCACGTGTCCGCCGTCCGAACTCACGTGACCTAACGTCTTCCCTCTGTAGTCAATCTCCACGTCAAGCGCCGTGAAGTCAAAAGAGTACACGTCAGCATTGGATATCTTGAGCGTCACGAGCATCGTCATGTCAATAGACGGCACCGGACGGCGGTGAACGCTTACGTGGGAAATCCTGACCCGTTCGATCTTAATGCGTGGATCTGACGGCCAGAAGATGTAGATGAGGATCGAGGCAAATGATATGAGAAATATAGAGATGATGAAACAGCGTCGTGTATTCGTGGAAGGATGTGAGATCAGAACGGCGTCGCATAGATCTTGACTTGACGATGGTAAAGGCCTATATTCCGGTGACGACGGAGTTGCTTCAGGATCTTCTTCTCCGACTCCGGCCATGCTTATGAGAGAGGAAATGTTTGGTAAAGTTTGATATATATATGTGATGTTATTTATTTTTGTTAGTTGAATGTATAATTAAACTTTATTATTAAATGAGTTAATCATTGATAATTAAATTTTTGTTAGTACAAGTACTTCATATATTTGACTTTAACCGGTCCGACGTCCTAAATCCGGTTTACATCAAACGGTAACTATTTTTTACCGTGGCGGTCAAAATGGATTTGACAAATTACAAGTCATTTACAAATCACTATACAAATGATCAATTACAACAGTATCTCATAACAAAACTATTTTATTACTAAGAACAATTCCTTAAAAATCAACACTATATAACTCAAATGTAACAAACCTTATGTAACCCAAAACTTAATATAAGAAAGCAATGATAAAGATTTAGCTATACGTTGTATTTGTGTGTGCTTAAAAATTAAGACCAAAGAAAAAGAAAACATTACTCTGTTCTTACATGAGTTCTTACGAACTTTGTCCCTGGCTAGGTTTCTGATGCCGTTCGCTTTGGCTTTGCCGCTGAGTCACATACACAACCGCTCTATACATATCCGAACATGAATACGCAACCTCAGACATTGCCTGAAAAAGCTCGGGAAGGCGAGTTCGCAGACTAGCCAGAGACTTCTCTCTAACTTGTTGGCTTTGTCTTTGGTAAGCTTCTTCTTCTTCTTCCAACCTCTTTTTAATTTGTTCTACATTGAATTGCCTCACAACGACCTCGTCTTTATGATCGTTATCTGCTTCTGACCCATCCGGATTCATATCCTCCGGTCCTCTCTTCTGCATGTATTTGTAGTACCAATCCTCAAACTGTCTGATTTTTCTTCCCAATTCTTTTCTTGTCTCTTCACATCTGTCTCTGAGTTTAATCTCTTCTTCTTGCTGCTGCATTATCGTGCTTATAACCGCAGCGAAGTTGATTATTGCGGTTCTCGCCATTTCGTCAGGGATCTTGTCTAAACGGTCGTACCAAATGTGGAGGAGCTTTTGGATTGCGGGATTTGGAACTCGAGGAGGTGAAGATACTTTCTCCTTGAGTGTGCTTTCGATAGGGATGAGATTTAGCTTTAGCCATCCGCCTAGTGATTTTATGTATGCTTTCTGATGATCAATCATCCTGCAAAACTGTGTGTGCCATTCTTGAACCACGGCCAAGAGCTGGATTGTGCGTTCGTGATGATGGTCGTTTGTTTCTTTCACCGCTTGAGAAACGTCTAGTGATTTCAAAACCTTTGAGATCTCGGCTTGTCTTTGATGATGCATTTGCATCATCTCCCACATCTTCGCCATCCTGCAACACAGTTTTCCATAAGAAAAAAAATACTCAAAACCATACTGTCTAAAAACATCATCAAAAAGCATATCTACCAGCAACTAAAACTTACGCCTCGACGAGGTGAACGAGCTTTACGTATAGTTGTTCATCCCGAAGACGATTGATCTCTGAAACTGTGGAGTCCATGGATTGCATGTCAACTATGTACCTTGTATGCAACTGACTAACTGCTGCTTTGGCTCTCTCTAATGAATCCGAGTGGCCACCTCGCTTCTTTACCCGATTTAAATGAGCAACCTTTTTCTGGTACTCGATTTTCATGAGTTCACCGGCCTAAAATCCAACAAAATTTTATTCCAAAATAAGACTTCCTCCAATAGAACAGACATTATTTTTGCTAATACACACAAACTACCAAAAACAATCAATGAGACAAATATCAAGTCCACAAAGATAGAGACTTTTATCAGACGAGAAGATTACCAGAAAAGACTAAACATGGCTGCAAGAAACCCTCCTCAAAAAGGTAAATAAACACGGAAAAGCACAAGTTTGATATGGTTACCTTGACTTCGTCGTAGAGCTTCTTTTCCCATGCAAGCAATTTATCAAGAACAGTAGCATGAGTTTCGTTTTCTTCGTTATCGAAATCATCCTTACTAACATCAGCATTTGGTAATCCTCTAAACGATCTATTCCATGTAATTACACGCATCACTCTAGCAGAGTGATCAATATGGCCTGTCACAACAATACAATCACTTCGTCAAAGTTGAGCTAATCTATATATGTAAAAGATCATCTTGTTCCAACAAAGTGATCGAATCAATTACCTCGGTTATCTGCAAAATTAGAGTGGTAATGGAGCCTAGTAGCTTCAAGCATCTTGGAAACCTCATGAGCACTTTCAGAAGCTTTCAAGAAACTATCATCAAGCTCATTGAATACATTCGCTAGATTAGTCGTTACTTGTCTCCCTCCTCTCCTCTCTCCGGCGATGGCCATCCCTTTGCTCTTCTTCATCCCTCTAAAATTAGCAGCTTTATCCAACTCCACACTCGCTTCCTCCACTCTCTTCGGCCTTTCCTCCACCGGCTGTTTCCGTTCAACCACCGTCTCCTCTTCTTCCTCCTCCTCATCCTCCTCCTCTTCTTCGTCTTCCTCTGTGGATGGTGAAGCTGGTTGAGGAGGCGCAGGTTTAGCCTGTGGTTGTGGCTGTGGAGGAGGAGGAGGAGTGTCCTCTAAAGTGGTTCCAGGCATGTTGTCAACATTGGGGAAGAAATAATCGAAGAAAGGTTCCTGTTGTTGCTGTTGTTGATGGTGGTGCTGACGTGGCGGCGGAATCGGCCTTGAATTCGCCGTCATGGATTGCGGCGGAGGAGGAGGCGGCGCTTCCTGGTGATCCTCAATCATCGTCCTACCTCTACTGCTGCCTCCACGGCTTTTCGATTTCCTAACCAAACGGTCATGATTCTCCAATTCGGAGTCATCGTCATCGTCTAGGGTTCCGTCTTCCTCAATTATTGTCCCGTTGAGTCCTTTCCCAGACGGACCACCGGATCTACCGTTCATCTCCGGCATGGTAGCAGCTCGCTGGAGAGGAAGCGGTGGAGGAGGGGGAGGTGGTGGGAGAGTATCGGGCATAGGCTGAGGAATCGCGGCGGATGCGGAGGAAGAAGAAGCGGCGGAATTAGAAATTGCGGCGGCGGAAGAAGGGGATTGAGGAGATACGCCGGTGGGAACTGAGGAAGAAGAAGCGATTGCGGCGGCGGATGAAGAAGAGTGACCGGATACTAGAAATTCGCCGTGAGAGTAATCGGAGAGAGCAGCTCCGGTGTTTTTAAGAGCCATGGCGTAAGCTGAGTGTGCGGCGGCGAAAGCGTTACGATTGGAGACGGCATCTTTCATGAACTGTTTTCGCTCTTTGCAACGAGTGACGGCTTCTTCGTTCTCGATCTTGGATTGAGCACAACCCATCTTCTTCTTCTTCCTCTCTGCAACTCAAGCTCAGATCGATCGGAGAGAGTTGAAACTCGGAAGCTTTCGAGTTAAGTCTTTTTTTTTTTGAAAAAAAGCTTTGTGAGAATAATTGAGAGAAGAGAAGGGATTGGTTCTCCAGTAGATCCGACGTCGTTCCACTTGTTAGAAAAAGGCAATTTCCGCTTTTTCTTTTCTATTTTGTGCTCAGAGTTTCCATTTTTTGTTGGGCTACTCAAGGTAATGACGTGGACAAAGTTAAAAAGGTGACGAACGAATATAACGTTTTTCTTTCTTTTGAATTTTGTTTTCTCTTTTCTTTTGTCGCCAATTTCTTCTTCTTTTTTGGTTTTTTTTTTTCCCACTCGGAACTAAGCCTGAATTTTTCGGGAATTGGAACGGGAATTGACGGATAGGGATGGGAATGGGAATTTTGGGAATCTAAATATACTACCCAAATTATTCCCATAAAATAACGGGAGGAGAATTTACGGGTATGGGACGGGAACGAGAAATTCGGGAATCAAAACATACTTCCCATACAATTCCAAAATAAAATATAATCGGGAAAAGAACAGGAAAGAGACGGAAAAAATTTCGGATAATTCAGATAATTAGATTAAAATCAATTTTTGTTTTTAAAAAAAAATTATTATTTGTTAATAAATTGGAAAAATTATTATTTATTATAAAAAAAATTTCAAATAACCGAAATCTCTAAAATTTTACTTTATATAATTATCCAACAGGAAGTTTGGGTAATCCCATTCCCGTTCCTATCCTTTCCCTTACCCATTCAAATATTATTTTCAATCCCGAATGGGAAATTATAATTTCTCTTTCCTGAAAAATTTGGGAATTTCGGGATGGGTACGGGACGGGACGGGTTACCCTTCCCGAAAAATTCAGGCCTACTCGGAACACTCAAACCTAAGCCAAAGACAAAAAACTAAACAGACGACCAAAAAAAAAATTCCAAGTCTCCTTAATATTGAGTGTAGTGGAAGAACTCAACTTTTGAAATATTTTGACAACCATGCAGAAAATAAATATTTTAACAACATTAAGAAGCGAGAAATAACAAATTTGACAGACCAAATTTAGTTTTATTTTTGTTAACGTTTCGGTTGTAATTTGTAAACAATATTTTTAAAACAATTATATAACTATTTTTGCTGGAAAACAATTTGTATAACTAAAATTTATGCTTCCAAATATTCTAATCGATAACTTTCTGCACGAAATAGCAAATTAAATACAATACTTTTGTCACAAATAGATAAATAATCATCTATATTGTTACAACAAGAGAGCACTTATCCGTTCTTTGTCAATATTATATTGGACTATTACACTCCACATTCTTGATTTTTGTGGAAAGATTCAACTAGTGGACTATTTTGAAACTGTTACGGATAATAACATTTTTGATGAAATCTAATTAGCAAGTACACAAATATAGACTTATTTAGTTTCTGTCTTATCCCCGGCGCAGAGTTGCAAGCCGAGCCACCACTTCATCATATTCCAAGAGCTTAGGTCTTTGAAACGACAACGTTTTCTCGTTCTCTCTTGTTGAGGAAGCGTCCTTATCATTGCCTTGTGGCCTAAGTAACCTCGACGTTTCTTGATCAATACTCTTTTCCTTCTCTCCTTTTTCCTCTTGAGCTTTTTCATCGTTTCGAGCTCTTGATTTCGTGTATGGAGGAGAGATTAAACCGTAAGGCAAAACCTTATTCGTCTTCTCCTCAGATTCTCTTCTTTGAGAACTAAAACTCGAGCTGGACGTGGAACTCAAACTGCTTTTGGACAATGAATCTCTTCTCCAACTCTGTGAAAGAACCGATCCATCCTCACTTTGTTCATCTACAATTCTTTCAATCTTCGTATCATCAGCTTCTGCCTCGATCTTGTCCTCAATCTACACATTTTTCAGACATTAGAACACAAAATCTGAAAGATTCATGATGTTTTTTATTTTATTCTCACGTCAAATTTTGAATATTTTACTTGCAGAGTTGAATTTTGTCTAAGCAACATCAGTTTGAGAGCTGTAGGATCCCAATTGATGGAGAACTCTTTAGCAACCTCTTGCACTGTCTGAATCTTGAGTTCCTGTGAAGGTCTTCTTCGCAATTCTGTTTTCTCAACGAGCTGCAAATTTTCAAGACAGACAAGATATGATATTGTCAGTGCAAGAAAATGTGGCAAGTTATTAGAAAAAATAAGTTCAATAAAACCAACCTCATGGTTCACAGAAGAAGCAATGAAATTTCCAAATCTATGCATAAACACGGATCTAAGTTCCTTAAGTTCTGGAACGTCAGGAACCCATGCTGCTGCGTATATCAAAGTGGAAACAGCTTCTCTGCATTCTTCAGGGCATTCTCTAAAATAAAGGAAACACAAGAAAAACATATATAAGTCAATAAAATTTGAGACATTTTGGAGTAAAATCTGTAGATTAAAGGGAAAGTTTATGAACCTTTTCTTTAGCATTAGTGAGAGATTTTGCGAGATACAATCGCAGAATCGCTCGATGATATCATAACAAGATATAATTCTAAGCTCTTCGAGTAATACTTCTGCCTGAGATAACAAGTCGTTGACAGATTGAAAAAGCCTTCCTTAGTAACAGAGGACGCCTAGAATTAAAATGAGAGAAAGAAAAGCGAGTCTTACTCTTGTATAAGCATTATAATCATGACCATTATTGAGAAAATCCACAATGTCCATTTTCAAAAACTTAACCATTGCAATCCGTTTTTTCCTCACTGTGTCAAGCCGAATCTTCATATAACTGGTTGTAGATTTGCTGCATCTCATCACGAACAAAGGATTTAACACAAGGATTCAACTCAGAAAAAAATTTAAAACTTCAAACTCATTTGACAAAAGAATAAAGAAAGCTAACCTTTTCTTGTAGAACTTGGGTTTGAAGCACCTAAGAAACAATTTCATTTTTTATTCTTGAGGCAGAAGAAGGCAAAAAAGATTTACGTTTATATAAAAATCAAGGAGAATCAACAGGTGTTTTAGTGAATGGAGTTGAAGTAATACTCAGAATCAGAATATAGCAAAAGCTATGAAGCAAAGAAACGAACCAAAAAGTTTCTTATGGAGAGAGAGAGAGAGAGGGGAAAAAACTATGTAAATCCAAAAGAAGAAGACTTTTCTTGAGATCCTTTCAATACGGTCTTTATTTATAATATAAAGCTTAATTTTCTATTATAAAATCTTAAACTTAGAGAGCAAGTTCAATTAATTATGCAGAACTACTTAGTTCACAAGCACTTAAGCTGTGAGCCTATAACAAAATTTCCAAGAACCTTCTCTACTTGTCAAGCAAAAGAATAAAAGCGTTATCCTTAATATTTTCAAATTATAAAGTTTTGAAAATTGATCAAAAAATATTTACTAACTCAAAGACTATTACTGTACGTTTGTCTTCAAAAATTAAAAACAATCAAAATCTATATTGTTATAATAACAAGAGACCAATCACCCAAGATTCAACCAGTAGAGTACTAATTTCAAACTAATAAAGATAAATTACATGTTTCACGAAATGTAATTCATCAATATAAACTTAATTACGAAGAGAAATCCTAATTACTAATTAGGATACTCTTATATCCAACGAAAAGCTGCAGACGACGATCCTTGACCCGACGACGTTTTCTCTTGTTATTTCTTGTTGAGGAAGCTTCGCTATTGCTTGTGCTTGTGAGACTAGTATTGCCTTGTGGTCCACGTAACTTTGAGTTTTCTTGATCATACTCTTTTTGTTCTCTTTTTTTTTTTTTTCAACTCTTGCCCTTTTTCATCATAGATTCTCCTCTTCTTAAACTCGAGCTCGACCTTGAATTGGAACTCAAGCTGCCTTTGGACAATGAATCTCTTCTCCAACTCCATCAAAGAACCGATTCATCCTCGCTGTGATCTATGTTCGGATCATCATGAGATCCTGTCTCGATTTAATGTCTCCTGCCGCTCACCCTACAAAAGTTTCAGACAGTAACTTAGACACAAAATCTCCAAGATGTTATCTAATTTCAAGTCAAGGAAATATTTACTTGCAAACCTGAAATCTGTTTGAGTTGCTTCAGTTGCAGAGACATAGGATCCCATCTGATCTTAGATTCTTGAGCAATCTCTTCCAATGTTTGAAACCTAACTCCCCGTGAAAGTTTTTGCCATACAAGTATCTCAACAAGCTGCAGGTTTGGTATATTTAAACACAAATTAAGATTTGTCAACATGGATCTAATTACCAAGAACAATGTCAGAGATTTAAATATAGTAGTATTAACAAATCAAAGTAACCTCTTGATTTACAGACGATTCAATGGAATTTCCATATTTACGCGTAAACAAAGCTCTAAGATCTTTCAGTTCAGGAACATTGCGAAACAAAGCTGTATATATCAGAGATGAAACAGCTTCTCTGCATTCTTCAGGACATTCACTGAAAAAAAAATATATGTATAAAGCCGGGACCTTTGTAGAGTAAGATCAAGAGATTATAGTGAAAATACCTTTGTTTCAGCATTAACGAGATATTGGAGGAAATACAGTCGCAGAATCGCTCGATGAGATCATAAGAAGATAATATCCTAAGCTCTTCGAGTAATTCTTCGACCTGCAATAACAAGTTTTACAGATTAAGAAACAGAGGAATATTAATACAGAGGAAGATTAAATAAGTTAAAGAGGAGTTTTACTTTTTTATAAGCTTTATCATCATTGTCATGGCTGGTCTTGAGAATCTCCACGATATCTGTCTTCAAAAAGTAAACCATCGCATTCTTCTTTTTCCTCATAATATCGAGCCGAATCTTGATGAACTTGATTGAATGTTTGCTGCATCCCACAAGAACAAAGAATCTTAGAAGAGGAACACAGAACAGAACAAAAACTCATTTGAATCAGAATGAACAAAGATTAAAGAAAGCTAACCATTTCTTGTAGAACTTGGGTTTGAAGGCTCCGCAAAACATCTTTTCTTTTTCAATCAAATCAACTAGCAATAAAAAAAAAAGAGAATTCACGTAATACTAAGAATCAGAATATAGCAAACGATGTGATGTAAAGTAACCAACTTCAGAAGAAGAAAAGAAATGGTAAGGATTATGAGTGTTATTTATATAATATAAATAGAACCTCTAATTGTAGATTGAGTGAGAATCGCTCGATGAGATCATAAGAAGATAAGATCATATGCACTTCGAGCAATTCTTCCACCTGCAATAACAAGTAGACAGATTAAAAACAGAAGAAAATTAGAGAAAGAGGAGTCTTACTTTTCTATAAAACTTTATCATCATTTTCATGGCCGGTCATGAGAATTTCCACGATGTCTGTCTTCAAAAAGCAAACCATCGCATTCTTTTATTTCCTCATCAAAATCGGTGCCGAATCTAGATGAACTTGATCGAATGTTTGCTGCATCCCACAAGAACAAAAGAATCTTTGAGAGCTTAACGCCCATTAGTCAGATGAGCTCCACTGCCATCTCAGTCGTTAATTCTTATTTATTTTCTGCATTGCTGCTGATAGTTGCACATCTTTGTCATGTGGTTATTGCTTTCTGTTGAATTGATGGATTTCATTGGTTTTGTATAGTTATCGAGAATAGATAATGACAGATTTTGCTGTTTACTTGCATGACAAGTTTATTAGCTTTTAGCGATAATGTCTAGTGATAATGGAAATTGCTAATTTTAAACAATACATAATTTCATTAAATGAAACCCCATTACAAATAAAAGAAAAACTCATGAAAACTAAAACATAAAAATTGCTCAAGAAAATAATAAGCTAAGATAAAACAGAAGATAAAAAGGAAATGGGGGCTAATAACAATATTACAACAAACGATTTCACACTTGATTGCAGAGATTTGGGACAGCTAAATTTTCAACCGGGTCCATTAAACCCACAGGTGTAGCAGGACGAATGGAGTTGTTAAGTAAAGCTAGGTCCAAATCCATTTGGTGAGTTTCAGCACTAAGATTGGCTTCTTTGATGGCTTTTTTGGCGTTTTGAGCTCGTTTTCTTGAAGCTCTGATTTTTGTTTCCCAATCAGCATATTTCTCTTTCTTTTTGGTAAGAGCTTCAAGAAGAGTTTGACGTGGAGCAGAATTAAGAGGGGAGCCTATAGCTCTTAGTTTTTTAAAACCACATATAAAAAAATGACGACAGTTATCCCAATATTTGTTAACTTGGAGACACTTGATGTAGAAATATTCAAGTGTGTCTATACCCAAATCAAAAAAGCACTTCCCCACAATCATGATAATTATGGCTGGTAGAGCAACGAAGAGAGTGAACGACGAAGTTACCGTCCACAGAGGTACAGCGATTGAAGAAGCCCCAGCCACAAGAGCAATTTCATCAAGTAATTTCTTTAAAGAAAACCAACTAAAAGGCATTGATATCTGAAAGCCCTTAAGAAAAAGGTAGGAAAGAAAAATTATACCAAACCAAAAGAGAGACTTGGCAGGTTTTACTTCAGAGCTGGTTGGTGATGGAGCCACCACCATTGGATTGTCGTTTCTTCCAGCCGCTATTTGAACAAAGACTAAGACAATCAAGATAGAGTTCATCATCATTGCATGGAGTGCAGTGTAAACGTCTTCGTGCCTAAAAACAAATGTAAACCAAAGTGAGACTTAATTAAGAATATAATTAAAAGTGAAACAGAAAACAAAGATCTTAGTTTACCATTTTATGGCTGCAGCGGTGGGAGGTCGAGGTGCCATCAAAACCAACAAAGATCTGAGTGTCTTTTTTTTTAGCAAAAAAAAGATGGAGTGTTTTTATAAAGAAGAAGAAGAAAGTCTTGTGAGTAAAAATGCAAAAGTAGAAGAAAATCTTCGGGGTAAATGAATGCAAAATCGAGTGTCTTTATATAGAGAGCTGGAAACCCTAGATGAAAGTTGAAAACACTAAAGACAAGAGTGGAAAATTCAAACGCACGAAAAGATAATTTTAATTCTACCAAAATGTATTGAGCTCATTTGAGAAGAAAACAAGTTGCTTTATAGAACCTATCATAGATAGATTATCTATTCCAATGCAATTACTTATTTTTAGTAACTTTAAAGGTTACTTTTCAAAAGTTAAAATAATCAAGAAACCTTATTAATATAAAAACTGACATATATATATATATATATAGAATGGGTCTATAAATGAGAATTCAATATAATTTTATTTATTTATTAGAGAAATACTTTAAATTGCACTATCAAAAGATCCAGCGAACAAAGAGAAATCAAAAATATTTTCTCATCAAAGACTTTCAAAAAGTGATTAAATTCAAAATCAAATTTTTTTTCATCTCTATCGATCAACTCTACGCTCTTTGCGCTCTATCTCTGTCTCCTTTGTATGGACTTAGGAAGCACCAGAAATAGCACACAGATTTGTATCAAAAATATATAGCGCAAAGAGTACCTCACAACATTCAAAGTTTGTGCTTTGGAGAATGATGATAATCTCTTATCCTGATCTTCTTGCGGACGTAGCCCTTTTTTTATAACGCTTTACATTTATATATGTAGATACTTCATACTTGTAGATATGCACATACTAAGATGATATCATCAAATTTGGTCTTGAAAGAGTATAAGATGATTCAAGAATTTAAAGATGAAATTTTTACTTGTCGTACTCAACATCTCAGCTTTCTTTTACACTTATACTTCCAGAAATTTGATCCGTCATGATCTGATCGATCAAGATTATTAATGTATTTAAGATTAAAGTATTTCTTTTTCTTTAAGTTAATTAATTTTTTGAGTAGAAATTGCTTATTTTCTCTCTTTGCACTTTAATAATTAATATAAGTTGGTTAATAGTTTAAATGTACTTTCTGTCTCTCTAATAGCTGTTAAATGCAAATGAGGATTATACAGTGGATTTCGGAAAGTTTAACAAAAATCAACTTTTATGATTGTCTTTGTTTGCTT